CGCCTCTCACTCATCTCCTCGCCTCTCACTCATCTCCTCGCCTCTCACTCATCTCCTCGCCTCTCACTCATCTCCTCGCCTCTCACTCATCTCCTCGCCTCTCACTCATCTCCTCGCCTCTCACTCATCTCCTCGCCTCTCACTCATCTCCTCGCCTCTCACTCATCTCCTCGCCTCTCACTCATCTCCTCGCCTCTCACTCATCTCCTCGCCTCTCACTCATCTCCTCGCCTCTCACTCATCTCCTCGCCTCTCACTCATCTCCTCGCCTCTCACTCATCTCCTCGCCTCTCACTCATCTCCTCGCCTCTCACTCATCTCCTCGCCTCTCACTCATCTCCTCGCCTCTCACTCATCTCCTCGCCTCTCACTCATCTCCTCGCCTCTCACTCATCTCCTCGCCTCTCACTCATCTCCTCGCCTCTCACTCATCTCCTCGCCTCTCACTCATCTCCTCGCCTCTCACTCATCTCCTCGCCTCTCACTCATCTCCTCGCCTCTCACTCATCTCCTCGCCTCTCACTCATCTCCTCGCCTCTCACTCATCTCCTCGCCTCTCACTCATCTCCTCGCCTCTCACTCATCTCCTCGCCTCTCACTCATCTCCTCGCCTCTCACTCATCTCCTCGCCTCTCACTCATCTCCTCGCCTCTCACTCATCTCCTCGCCTCTCACTCATCTCCTCGCCTCTCACTCATCTCCTCGCCTCTCACTCATCTCCTCGCCTCTCACTCATCTCCTCGCCTCTCACTCATCTCCTCGCCTCTCACTCATCTCCTCGCCTCTCACTCATCTCCTCGCCTCTCACTCATCTCCTCGCCTCTCACTCATCTCCTCGCCTCTCACTCATCTCCTCGCCTCTCACTCATCTCCTCGCCTCTCACTCATCTCCTCGCCTCTCACTCATCTCCTCGCCTCTCACTCATCTCCTCGCCTCTCACTCATCTCCTCGCCTCTCACTCATCTCCTCGCCTCTCACTCATCTCCTCGCCTCTCACTCATCTCCTCGCCTCTCACTCATCTCCTCGCCTCTCACTCATCTCCTCGCCTCTCACTCATCTCCTCGCCTCTCACTCATCTCCTCGCCTCTCACTCATCTCCTCGCCTCTCACTCATCTCCTCGCCTCTCACTCATCTCCTCGCCTCTCACTCATCTCCTCGCCTCTCACTCATCTCCTCGCCTCTCACTCATCTCCTCGCCTCTCACTCATCTCCTCGCCTCTCACTCATCTCCTCGCCTCTCACTCATCTCCTCGCCTCTCACTCATCTCCTCGCCTCTCACTCATCTCCTCGCCTCTCACTCATCTCCTCGCCTCTCACTCATCTCCTCGCCTCTCACTCATCTCCTCGCCTCTCACTCATCTCCTCGCCTCTCACTCATCTCCTCGCCTCTCACTCATCTCCTCGCCTCTCACTCATCTCCTCGCCTCTCACTCATCTCCTCGCCTCTCACTCATCTCCTCGCCTCTCACTCATCTCCTCGCCTCTCACTCATCTCCTCGCCTCTCACTCATCTCCTCGCCTCTCACTCATCTCCTCGCCTCTCACTCATCTCCTCGCCTCTCACTCATCTCCTCGCCTCTCACTCATCTCCTCGCCTCTCACTCATCTCCTCGCCTCTCACTCATCTCCTCGCCTCTCACTCATCTCCTCGCCTCTCACTCATCTCCTCGCCTCTCACTCATCTCCTCGCCTCTCACTCATCTCCTCGCCTCTCACTCATCTCCTCGCCTCTCACTCATCTCCTCGCCTCTCACTCATCTCCTCGCCTCTCACTCATCTCCTCGCCTCTCACTCATCTCCTCGCCTCTCACTCATCTCCTCGCCTCTCACTCATCTCCTCGCCTCTCACTCATCTCCTCGCCTCTCACTCATCTCCTCGCCTCTCACTCATCTCCTCGCCTCTCACTCATCTCCTCGCCTCTCACTCATCTCCTCGCCTCTCACTCATCTCCTCGCCTCTCACTCATCTCCTCGCCTCTCACTCATCTCCTCGCCTCTCACTCATCTCCTCGCCTCTCACTCATCTCCTCGCCTCTCACTCATCTCCTCGCCTCTCACTCATCTCCTCGCCTCTCACTCATCTCCTCGCCTCTCACTCATCTCCTCGCCTCTCACTCATCTCCTCGCCTCTCACTCATCTCCTCGCCTCTCACTCATCTCCTCGCCTCTCACTCATCTCCTCGCCTCTCACTCATCTCCTCGCCTCTCACTCATCTCCTCGCCTCTCACTCATCTCCTCGCCTCTCACTCATCTCCTCGCCTCTCACTCATCTCCTCGCCTCTCACTCATCTCCTCGCCTCTCACTCATCTCCTCGCCTCTCACTCATCTCCTCGCCTCTCACTCATCTCCTCGCCTCTCACTCATCTCCTCGCCTCTCACTCATCTCCTCGCCTCTCACTCATCTCCTCGCCTCTCACTCATCTCCTCGCCTCTCACTCATCTCCTCGCCTCTCACTCATCTCCTCGCCTCTCACTCATCTCCTCGCCTCTCACTCATCTCCTCGCCTCTCACTCATCTCCTCGCCTCTCACTCATCTCTCGCCTCTCACTCATCTCCTCGCCTCTCACTCATCTCCTCGCCTCTCACTCATCTCCTCGCCTCTCACTCATCTCCTCGCCTCTCACTCATCTCCTCGCCTCTCACTCATCTCCTCGCCTCTCACTCATCTCCTCGCCTCTCACTCATCTCCTCGCCTCTCACTCATCTCCTCGCCTCTCACTCATCTCCTCGCCTCTCACTCATCTCCTCGCCTCTCACTCATCTCCTCGCCTCTCACTCATCTCCTCGCCTCTCACTCATCTCCTCGCCTCTCACTCATCTCCTCGCCTCTCACTCATCTCCTCGCCTCTCACTCATCTCCTCGCCTCTCACTCATCTCCTCGCCTCTCACTCATCTCCTCGCCTCTCACTCATCTCCTCGCCTCTCACTCATCTCCTCGCCTCTCACTCATCTCCTCGCCTCTCACTCATCTCCTCGCCTCTCACTCATCTCCTCGCCTCTCACTCATCTCCTCGCCTCTCACTCATCTCCTCGCCTCTCACTCATCTCCTCGCCTCTCACTCATCTCCTCGCCTCTCACTCATCTCCTCGCCTCTCACTCATCTCCTCGCCTCTCACTCATCTCCTCGCCTCTCACTCATCTCCTCGCCTCTCACTCATCTCCTCGCCTCTCACTCATCTCCTCGCCTCTCACTCATCTCCTCGCCTCTCACTCATCTCCTCGCCTCTCACTCATCTCCTCGCCTCTCACTCATCTCCTCGCCTCTCACTCATCTCCTCGCCTCTCACTCATCTCCTCGCCTCTCACTCATCTCCTCGCCTCTCACTCATCTCCTCGCCTCTCACTCATCTCCTCGCCTCTCACTCATCTCCTCGCCTCTCACTCATCTCCTCGCCTCTCACTCATCTCCTCGCCTCTCACTCATCTCCTCGCCTCTCACTCATCTCCTCGCCTCTCACTCATCTCCTCGCCTCTCACTCATCTCCTCGCCTCTCACTCATCTCCTCGCCTCTCACTCATCTCCTCGCCTCTCACTCATCTCCTCGCCTCTCACTCATCTCCTCGCCTCTCACTCATCTCCTCGCCTCTCACTCATCTCCTCGCCTCTCACTCATCTCCTCGCCTCTCACTCATCTCCTCGCCTCTCACTCATCTCCTCGCCTCTCACTCATCTCCTCGCCTCTCACTCATCTCCTCGCCTCTCACTCATCTCCTCGCCTCTCACTCATCTCCTCGCCTCTCACTCATCTCCTCGCCTCTCACTCATCTCCTCGCCTCTCACTCATCTCCTCGCCTCTCACTCATCTCCTCGCCTCTCACTCATCTCCTCGCCTCTCACTCATCTCCTCGCCTCTCACTCATCTCCTCGCCTCTCACTCATCTCCTCGCCTCTCACTCATCTCGCCTCATCTCCTCGCCTCTCACTCATCTCCTCGCCTCTCACTCATCTCCTCGCCTCTCACTCATCTCCTCGCCTCTCACTCATCTCCTCGCCTCTCACTCATCTCCTCGCCTCTCACTCATCTCCTCGCCTCTCACTCATCTCCTCGCCTCTCACTCATCTCCTCGCCTCTCACTCATCTCCTCGCCTCTCACTCATCTCCTCGCCTCTCACTCATCTCCTCGCCTCTCACTCATCTCCTCGCCTCTCACTCATCTCCTCGCCTCTCACTCATCTCCTCGCCTCTCACTCATCTCCTCGCCTCTCACTCATCTCCTCGCCTCTCACTCATCTCCTCGCCTCTCACTCATCTCCTCGCCTCTCACTCATCTCCTCGCCTCTCACTCATCTCCTCGCCTCTCACTCATCTCCTCGCCTCTCACTCATCTCCTCGCCTCTCACTCATCTCCTCGCCTCTCACTCATCTCCTCGCCTCTCACTCATCTCCTCGCCTCTCACTCATCTCCTCGCCTCTCACTCATCTCCTCGCCTCTCACTCATCTCCTCGCCTCTCACTCATCTCCTCGCCTCTCACTCATCTCCTCGCCTCTCACTCATCTCCTCGCCTCTCACTCATCTCCTCGCCTCTCACTCATCTCCTCGCCTCTCACTCATCTCCTCGCCTCTCACTCATCTCCTCGCCTCTCACTCATCTCCTCGCCTCTCACTCATCTCCTCGCCTCTCACTCATCTCCTCGCCTCTCACTCATCTCCTCGCCTCTCACTCATCTCCTCGCCTCTCACTCATCTCCTCGCCTCTCACTCATCTCCTCGCCTCTCACTCATCTCCTCGCCTCTCACTCATCTCCTCGCCTCTCACTCATCTCCTCGCCTCTCACTCATCTCCTCGCCTCTCACTCATCTCCTCGCCTCTCACTCATCTCCTCGCCTCTCACTCATCTCCTCGCCTCTCACTCATCTCCTCGCCTCTCACTCATCTCCTCGCCTCTCACTCATCTCCTCGCCTCTCACTCATCTCCTCGCCTCTCACTCATCTCTGTGCCCCTCGTGCCACCATGCTTCGCATTGTCATCATGTGTTGCCTCCACAGGTGATTCGCGAGAACCAGATTGTGGTGGTGGTGGGCGAGACGGGCTCTGGCAAAACAACACAGATGACACAGGTGAGTGAGTGTTGGGGACGTGGCACAAGATGACTAAATGAGTTGCCTCAAAAGTCACCAGATTGTGGTGGTGGTGGGCGAGACGGGCTCTGGAAAGACAACACAGATGACACAGGTGAGAAACTTGGACTGACGGACTCGGTGTGGCTCTGAGTGACTCAGGCGAAGACATGATTGGGTGCTGCTGTCAGTCACCCTTGACGTGTGATTTTCTTATGGCAGATTGATGTCTTACTAGAACATTCAATGGAACATTACCCAGGCACCCCTTCAAAGTCGCACCTCATGGCAGATTTATGTTTCACTAGAACGTTACCCAGGCACCCCTTCAAATTTAGCGTAAACATTCAACTCGACCTATGCTGACAGATAACTGATCGGGGTTGACGAAAACAAAATCGCCTGCGTGGATTAATAAGATGTCGTGCGCCAACACCTTCGCATTGGCAGACTGGTTGGGCAAGTGATAAACCTCTGCTCTGCCAACCGAGAGGAATGTGCACCCTCGCTTTAATTTAAACACTGTGTTTGTTGTTTCTCCTCGGTAGTAGCTGTTTAGTTCTTCTGTTCGCAGTACAGCACAGCACATACAGCATGATGGGGTGGGGTGCACGCATTTCCTCCCATCAACTCACTTCGTTGCGTCATGTCTTTGTAACTCCTCCACCCCCCACCCTTCCCCCACTCCCCAGTACCTACACGAGGACGGCTACACCACGTACGGCATGGTGGGGTGCACTCAACCCCGTCAATCCATGCTCAAACCCTAAACCATAACTCAAACCTCCCCCGCACACACCCCCACCAGTACCTGCACGAGGACGGCTACACCACGTACGGCATGGTGGGGTGCACTCAACCCCGTCGAGTGGCAGCGATGAGCGTGGCCAAGCGCGTGGCAGATGAGATGGAGTGCGAGCTGGGGTCCACTGTGGGCTATGCCATCCGGTTCGAGGATGTCACCAGCAGCAACACGCTCGTCAAGGTGAGTGGTGTGCACATGGAGTGGAAGGAGCAGTGCAGTGCAGGTGGGCAAGGGAGAGTTAGTGGCAGATGAGATGGAGTGCGAGCTGGGGTCCACTGTGGGCTATGCCATTCGGTTTGAAGACGTCACCAGCAGCAACACTCTTGTCAAGGTGAGATAGTATGGGCAGTGGGGAACGGGGAAAGGGAGAGGGAGGGAGTGGGACGGAGTGCGAGCTGGGGGGGTATGCCATTTGCTTCGAAGGTGAGAGGGGTGGGCGTGGAGTGGAAGGGGCAGCGTGGTGTGGGCGGGCAAGGGGAGAGTGAGTGGCGGACGAGATGGAGCGCGAGGTGGGGTCCACTGTGGGCTATGTCGTCCGGTTCGAGGATGTCACCAGCTGCAACACTCTCGTGAAGGTGGGATGAAGGGGGAAGGGGGAGCGGTAATGTAAAAGGCAGTGGGGTTGGAGAAGGGGAGAGGGAGGTGGCGAAATGGAGTGTGAGCCATCTGTGGGGTATGCGATTCGCTTCGAGGATGTCACCACCAGAAACACTCTCGTCAAGGTGGGATGGGATGAGATGGAAGGAGCAGTGCAACAGGGGGGAAAGGGCTTTTCGGGAGTGAGATGGGGTGCGATTGAGGGCGGGGAAGCAAGTTGAGTGCTTCGATGCACATTCTTTTGTTTACAAAAGTAACGCTGGTTCTAAGATACTGTCAGGCACCATGGGGGTAATCATAGCAATATGCGAGGAAAGGAGACGTCTACATTGTGTGATCTGCTGCTCTCTCTTCTCTTCGTGTTCCTCCTCGCCTCGTCCGTCCGTGCCACATGCTTGATTGTCACACACGTCCTTTTCACCACGAGCTTGAATCCCTGGTTCTTCTGCCGGTGATCACTTTAGAGGCATCTCAAAAGTGTGTGTTACCATGAGTGTGTGTGGTTCTTCTGCCAGTGATGACCATCATATTTCTCGATGACGAGGCGCCAGCACGGACTAAGCACACATGCACTCTCACTCCGAGGTGCTGTGTGGTGCTGCGAAGCCAATGAGATGAGAAATTTGTGCGTGTCTGAGGCGCTGTGTGTGTGCTTCTGGGAGGTATTGTGTGGTGCTGTCCGGTGCTGAGCGATCCCGTGTAGTTAGTAGCAGCTGCTTGTCCCCTTTCACCTTCTTCTCATCTCACCCCCCTCTTTTCCTCCCAACCCCACCAGTACATGACGGAGGGAGTGCTGCTGAGAGAGTCACTCAGAGAGCCGGACCTAGACCAGTACAGGTGTGTGCTAGCTAGCAAGCCTCCTTGTTTCACTTTTGAGAATCTCCAAAGGGTGCCAGCCTCCCTCTACCCTGTTGTGGCTCTGTCTGAGCCGCCTTGGAAGCAGATTAGAGCGATGGATCATAGAGTTGTGTGGGTGGGTGGTGTGCTCTCTCGATACACCTTTGCGGTTATACTGGGTGGGTGGCGCGTTTTGTCTCTCTGTGTGCCGTCGTGTCCGATCAATCAGGGCCTCTGAGCCTTTTCTCACCACGAACCTTGCGAAACTGCTTTTCATCCATGCCTGCTGCAACCTCAACCCCCCCCCCCTCCCCCCTCCCCTCTCTCTCTCGGTGATGTTTCTCCCCCCCCCCCCCTACTGCCCCCCCCTTCTCCCCTGCCCCCATCGCCCAGCGCCATCATCATGGACGAGGCGCACGAGCCGTCGCTGAACACGGACGTGCTGTTTGGCGTGCTCAAGCACGTGGCATGTGGCATGTGGCATGTGCTGCTCCTCTCCCCATACCCCCCCCACCCCCCTCCCCCCCCCCCCCATTTACCCTCCCCCCGCCACCAGCGCCATAATAATGGACGAGGCGCACGAGCGGTCGCTGAATACGGACGTGCTGTTTGGGGTGCTCAAGCACGTGGCGGCGAGGCGGAGGGACTTCAAGCTCATCGTCACCTCTGCCACACTCAACTCTGAGAAGTTCTCCCACTTCTTCGGCAGGTGAGGGGTGCTTGGGCAGTTGGCGCGTGCTGTGGCAGGTGGGACTTAGGTGGGGCTTGGGGGAGGTGGGGCTTGGGGCAGGTGGGGCTTGGGGGAGGTGGGACATGGGTGGTGGTGTCTTAACAGCACTCTTCTGGCGCGCTGCTTGTGGGTTGGCTTCCTTTAGTGAGTGGCAATTGATAGGCGACTGTGGGAGCACAGTATAACAACAGTCACCATTGAAAGAATCTCAAGTGTTGTCTTGATTAGAAAGAGTGTGGGTACATATAGGAGATGAGAAGTTGGAAACTAAGTGGGGTACCCTCAGCATTTATTGGTGGACCAATCAGATTGGGTCGACCAACAATTGCTGGGGTAACCAACAATTGTTGGAGGGGACCATTATTGCCCCCCCCCCCGTCAATTGCGGTCGAGTTGGGTTTGGGGGCGCCCAACCAAAATTGGTTGGGTCGCCTTGACCCAAAGTGTACACCCACTTTAGGGTGTAACACTTGCACAAATATAAACAAACATTATGCTATATTCTAACACAACCCCGTAGCATAAGAGGTTTATAATTGTGCACAACCCCGGAATCATGAAGCCGGGGAGAGGCCAAGAAGGCAAAGGAAGGCCCGGTGGGCTAGCTTCGGAAGAGCTTTGGTGAAGATGTCGGCGAAGCTGGCTTCGGCGGCAATTTTGCAGACAGCAAGATGGCCTTGCTGGACAAGATCGCGAATGTAGAAGTAGCGTAATTCGATGTGTTTTGAGCGCCCGTGGAAGACCGGATTCTTGGTGAGGTGGATCGTGCTGGCGTTGTCGCACCAGAGCGTGGGGCATGGCTGAGGGGCCCCAAGCTCGACTAGCAAGAAGGAAAGCCAGCGTCCTTCCTGCGCAGCCATGGTACCAGCATAAAGTTCGACTTCACAAGATGAGAGGGCGATGGAGGAGGAGCGGGTGGAGCGCCAGCTGACCAAGCCGCTATCGAGCGTGAAGCCATATCCTTGGGAAGAGCGGCGATCCGGCTGAGAGTCTGCCCAAGACGAGTCACTGAAGCCGGTGAGGAGCGGGGGAGAGGTACCACCAAGGGCGAGGACATGGTCCTGAGTGCCACGGAGGTAGCGTAGGACTCGTTTGGCGGCTCTCCAATGCGCGGAGGTGTGACGACCGGTACCGACGAAACGCGCCAGGACGCTGATGGGGCAGGCGAGGTCGGGACGGGTCCCCATCATGGCATACATGATGGAGCCAACCAGTTCCGCATAGGGCTAAGTGGAGGCGGAGGGGGAGGTGGGTGGAGCAAGCTGATGGCCGAATGGAAGGGGAGTGGCCACTGGGTTGGCGAGAGCCATGTCGAACCGCTCCAACACCTGCTGAAGATAGTGAGATTGAGATAAGGTGATGGTGCAGGCGACTCGATCGCGTGTGATCTCCATGCCCAAGTAGTGGCGTAACTCGCCAAGGTCCTTGCACTGCAGACGAGCTTGTAGTTCTTGCTTGACGTCGGTCATGTCGGCGGAGGTGTCGGCGAGGAGCACCATGTCGTCAACATAGACTAGGACGAAGAAGCGGCTGGGACAGGTCCGAATGAAGAGACTGGCGTCAGAGTGAGATGGTTGAAATCCGAGAGCACAGAGTGTGGATGCCAGCTTAAAGGCCACACCCCGAATTACACAACGAAGTCAACGAAAAAATTGTAGGTTCGGAAAATCTCTGAAGGAGGTTCGGTGGGAAAATCGAGAACCAATCGCGTCAAAAACGCACTCAAAACTTTCGACCAATCACGTGAAAGTGGTGACAGTTTTGGGGCCGACACGGTAATTCTGGATGTGGCCTTTAACATGCCATTCCCGAGGAGCCTGCTTCAGGCCGTAGACTGGACGGCGTAGTTCCCAGACAGTGTCTGGTGGGAAGGCTTCATGGAAGCCATCTGGGCGGTCGAGGAAGATTTGTTCGTAGAGGTCTCCCTGAAGAAAAGCGTTAGAGACATCCATTGATGAGATCTCCATGCCGTTGCGGGAGCCGAAGTCGAGAAGCGTGCGAAGGGTCCCGAAATTTGCGGTGGGTGAGAAGGTTTCCCAAAAGTCCTTGGCATAGGTCTGTGTGAAGCTCTTGGCGCAGTAACGGGCTTTGTAGACAAACTCTTCCGCCGGGAGCTGCTTCACCCGGAAGACCCACTTGCCAGCGACAATGTTGGCATCTGGAGGCGGCTTGACATCGACGAAGGAATCATTGCGAATGAAGGCGTCGCACTCCTTGCGAATGGCCTCCAACCACTTGTCAGCGTCAGAGCACGTGATTGCCTCCTGGAATGTGGTAGGCGTGAAGATGAGAGGTGAGGAGGGAGTGCCAAGTACAGCCGCGCCCAAAAGGGCAAGGTACACAGGGTTAAGGGAAGGAACGTGAGTTTGGATGGCACAAAACTCATGGGAGTCTTCATGAATGAGAGGTGGTTGACCAAGAATGGGGTCAAGGGAGCGAGTGTGCATGCGTGGGAGGAGGAAGGGAGAGCGTGAGGTGAGAGAAGTGCGAGGACGTGGGGAGGGTGCAGGAGGTGCGGCGGGCGAGGATGGAGGAGGAGAAGCTGGAGGGAGGTGGGTGGGAGGGGAGGGAGGAGGGGGAGAGGGAGGAGGGGGAGCGGTGGAAAGGGCAGGTGAGGCAGCAGGATCATAGATATCAGCCGAGGAAGGTGGAGGCGAGAGTGGAGTAGTTGGGAGGAGTGGAGTAGTTGGGAGGAGAGGAGGAAGAAGGGCATCTGCCCAGGTGAGCGGGCGGGAGGGTGGGGGGAGAGGGTCGGAGGGAGGAGGAGAGGAGTAGTAGGGAGTGGTTTCGTCGAAGATGACATCGCGGCTGTGAATGAGGCGGCCGGAGGGAAGATGAAGGAAGAGGTACCCAGGAGAGCCACGATTGTGGCCGAGGTAGACGCACTCCAATGCTTTGGAGGCAAGTTTTCCTGCTGTGCGGGAACGGTGTGCAGGAGGAATGAGAACAAAGGATTTGCAGCCCCAGACGCGAAGGACGGAGGCATCAGGTTTGGAGTTGCACCAAAGCTCAGTGGGAGTGAGGTTGGGATGGTGGGGGTGAGGGTAGAGGTTGGTGAGAAGGGCGGCATGAGTGAGAGCATAGCTCCAAAGGGAAGGAGGGGTAGATGCATGGGTGAGGAGACAGCGGGCAGTTTTGGTGATCTCACGGATGCGACTTTCAGCTACACCGTTTTGTTGCGGAGAATGAGGGAGAGTGGACGTCTGTTGAGTGCCATGAGCTTTGCAGTAGGAGGCAATGGTATGGTTGAGAAACTCCCCGCCATCGTCAGAGTGAAGGCGACGGATGGGTCGGCCGAAGTGCACGCGTGCTTGTTCGGCCCAGGCGACGATGACAGCGGCTGCTCCAGCTTTCGTGTGGAGTAGAAACACAGAGGAGTAGCGGTTATGGTCGTCAACGAGGATGAGCATAAAGCGGTGGCCCTGGCGGGAAGGGGAGGGGGCTTGGCGGTGGCCCCCTAGATCTCGTCCACATAAAGCGGTGGCCCTGGCGGTAACAACAGTCACCATTGAAAGAATCTCAAGTGTTGTCTTGATTAGAAAGAGTGTGGGTACATATAGGAGATGAGAAGTTGGAAACTAAGTGGGGTACCCTCAGCATTTGTTGGTGGACCAATCAGATTGGGTCGACCAACAATTGCTGGGGTAACCAACAATTGTTGGAGGGGACCATTACTGCCCCCCCCCCCCCCGCCAATTGCGGTCGAGTTGGGTTTGGGGGCGCCCAACCAAAATTGGCTGGGTCGCCTTGACCCAAAGTGTACACCCACTTTAGGGTGTAACACTTGCACAAATAAAATCATACATTATGCTATATTCTAGCAATCATGGCTTTTGCAAACACGTGTCTTCCTTCCCTCTTTCTCCCACTCTCTTCCCCCGTGCCTCCCTTTTTCAGAATTCACAAGCATGACTTGTGTGTTCCACCACCTCGCACCGTTTTCCCCCCTTCCCCTGTTCCTTCCCGCCCCGCCAACCTCCCCCCTCTCTTCCTCCTCCCAGTGTGCCGGTGTTCTGTATCCCCGGTCGCGCCTTCGCCGTGAGCATCATGTGGAGCAAGTCGCCCTGCTCATCCTCTTCCCCCTTCCTCCTCCCCCCTCTCGTCCTCCCCTCTCTTTCTCTCCCTCCCATCCCCCCACTCCCTTACTCCTCCCCCATCTCTTCCTTCCGCCCCTCCCAGCGTACCCGTGTTCTTCATCCCAGGGCGCACCTTCCCAGTGAGCATCATGTGGAGCAAGTCGCCCTGCTCATCCTTCCCCCTTCCTCCTCCCCCCTCGTTTTTCCTCCTCTTCCTCCCCCCCGCAGTGTACCCGTGTTCTTCATCCCGGGGCGCACCTTCCCAGTGAGCATCATGTGGAGCAAGTCGCCCTGTGAGGACCCAGTAGACGCGGCAGTCAAGCAGGCACTAGCCATCCACGTCACCATGCCACCTGGCGACATCCTCGTATTCATGACCGGCCAAGAGGACATCGAAGCCACCTGCTTCTCTCTCGCCGACCGCCTCGAGCAAATGGCGGCCGGCGCCGCCCGCCCCCCGCCGCCCCTCTCCATCCTCCCAATCTACTCCCAGCTGCCGGCCGATCTCCAAGCGAAGATTTTCCAGAAGGCCGAGGAAGGTACCAGGAAATGCATCGTTGCGACGAACATCGCCGAGACGTCGCTGACCGTTGATGGGATCTTGTACGTGATCGACGGTGGATACAGCAAGATCAAAGTGTACAACCCCCGCATGGGTATGGACGCGCTACAAGTCTTCCCCATCAGCCGAGCCGCGGCCGACCAGAGGTCCGGCCGAGCCGGACGAACAGGTCCGGGAACGTGCTACCGGCTGTACACAGAAACTGCCTACGCGAACGAGATGCTGGCGAATCCGGTGCCGGAGATCCAGCGCACCAACCTCGGGAATGTCGTGCTTCTTCTCAAATCCCTCAACATCGACAACCTTCTAGACTTCGACTTTCTCGACCCGCCTCCTCAGGAAAACATTCTGAATTCCATGTACCAGCTTTGGATTTTAGGAGCACTGGACAACACCGGGGCACTGACCAAGACGGGGAGGCGGATGGTGGAGTTTCCTTTAGACCCTGCTCTGGCGAAGCTGTTGATATCCGGGGACCAGTTTGGGTGTGTGAACGAGACGCTGACCATGGTGGCCATGCTCTCGGTGCCGTCCGTTTTCTTCCGCCCCAAGGACCGCGAAGAGGAGTCCGACGCTGCCCGGGAGAAGTTTTTCGTGCCCGAGAGCGACCACCTGACCCTGCTCAACGTGTTCCAGCAGTGGAAGTCCAATGGGTACCGGGGGGGCTGGTGCTCCGACCACTACCTTCACGTGAAAGGCCTGCGAAAAGCCCGGGAGGTGCGGGCCCAGCTAGCCGATATCCTCAAGCAGCAGAAGATTCCTCTCTCTAGCGCCGGTCAGGACTGGGATGTGGTGCGTCGGGCGATTTGCACGGCGTATTTCCACCACGCTGCAAAGCTGAAAGGCGTGGGGGAGTATGCGAGCTGCCGTACCGGCACCCCGTGCCACCTGCACCCCACGAGCGCGCTTTACGGGCTCGGAACGACCCCGGAATATGTGGTTTACCATGAGCTGGTGCTCACTTCAAAGGAGTACATGCAGTGTGTGACGGCTGTTGAGCCAAGATGGTTGGCGGAAGCTGGGCCGATGTTTTTCAGTGTGAAGGATAGCCATCAGAGCAGGTTGCAGCAGAAGCAGAAGCTGAGGGAGGAGGCGAGTGCGATGGAGAGGGAGATGGCGGAGGCGAGGCGGAAGAGGGAGGTGGAGGAGGAGATGAGACGGAGGAAGGACGAGGAGCAGACTGCAAAGGAGGCCGAGCTGATTATCATGCCGGGCGTCAAGAAAGGGCGAGGGGTGGTGGGCAGGCGTGCTGGTCTCTAGTGTGTGCGGCTTCAGCTCAAGTTTTGCTCTTGAGACGTGTAGAAAAAAACATAAAAGGGAACCACTTCTCACAAGCAGGTTGCAACAGAAGCAGAAGCTGAGGGAGGAGGCGAGTGCGATGGAGAGGGAGATGGCGGAGGCGAGGCGGAAGAGGGAGGTGGAGGAGGAGAAAAAACAAATATCACAAGCAGGTTGCAGCAGAAGCAGAAGCTGAGGGAGGAGGCGAGTGCGCTGGAGAGGGAAATGGCGGAGGCAAGGCGGAAGAGGGAGGTGGAGGAGGAGATGAGACGGAGGAGGAAGGACGAGGAGAGGACTGCCAGGGAGGCGGGGAGGATTGTCATGCCGGGAATGAAGAAAGGTAAGGGGGCGGCCAAGCGTGCTGCTGGGCTCTAACAGTGTGTGTGTGCTTTAGCTTGATTAAGGGACGAGGAGCTGTGTGGAGCCAGCTGGGCTCTTAAGGTGGAGCGAATTGTCATGCCGGGAGTGAAGAAGGGACGAGGAGCTGTGGGGAGGCGTGCTGGGCTTTAATGTGTGCGGCTTCAGCTCGAGCATTGCTCTTGAGAGGAGAGGACTGCGATGGAGGCGGAGAGGATAGTCATGCCGGGAATGAAGAAAGGACGAGGGCTGCCAGGCGCGCTGCTGGGCTCTAGTGTGTCTGCGGCTTGCATGTAGTGAGATGGGGAGGGTGGGGGGGGAGGAGGAGGGGGGGGGGGGAGGTGGGGGGTTTGTGGGTTGGTGGGGGGTGGGATGGAGGTCAGGTGGAGGTTGGGGAGGAGGGTGAAGGTTGGGTGGTTTGGAGCTGTGGAGGAGGGGAAGGGGTTGGCTTGGACATGCTTGTTGGTTGGCTTGTAATTACCGTTTTTGTGGTCCATATCAGGAGGCGTTTGTTTTATCAAATCTGATGTGATAGTGGTACCGATTTTTTTTATGCAAATGTTAACTGCGGAAAAAAAAATCATAATAAATATAATATAAAATGTCGTTAAGATTAATTCTCACCAACTGTGGTGGATTTTTTGTATACATTTGTATGCCCCACAAAAGGATCTTATCAGATCTTTCAATACGATGAGCATTTTTGCTACATTGCACCGACCTTGCCACATTGCCACATCAGGCAAACTCTCCGTGTTTCGCGCCGTTCTAATCCCCAGTTGCCATGTTCACCGGAGATCCCTATGCGTGGCCGTCGCGCCGCTCGCCCGTCCTCGCGACGCGCGGGATGGTCGCGTCGTCGCAGCCGCTCGCCAGCGAAGCCGGCCTCCGGATTCTGCGGGCCGGCGGCAACGCGGCGGACGCGGCGGTCGCCATGGCGGCGGCTCTTGCGGTGTGCGAACCGTGCAGCACCGGACTAGGTGAGAATCACATCGACGATCGTCGGATCAGGCGGCGACGCCTTTCTGATCTTCAGCCTCAATCCAATCTGCACCGTCCACACCGTTCACTATCCCTTACCCGGCCCTAAACCGCAGCCGGTGACGCCTCTCCTCATTTCTGCCGCGCCTTTACCCCCGCGGTGCATCCATCCCGTCCATGTCTTCCCTCCCCGCCCTTTTCTCCATCACTCCCCCCACGCCCCACAGGCGGAGACGCCTTCCTCCTCTTCTACCGCGCATCTACCCGCACAGTCCACAGCATTCAGGGCAACGGCCGCTGCCCCGCCGCGCTCTCGCTCCCCCACCTCGCCACTCTCGGCTTCTCCCAAGCTTGCCCCCTCCCCCCCTTCCACCCTCTCACCGTCACCGTCCCCGGCGGCGCCGCCTGCTGGGCCGACACCATCCAACGGTTCGGATCGCGCCACGTGTCGCTCCGAGAGGCGCTCGAGCCGGCCGTACAGCTGGCAGAAGGCGGTTGGCCCGTACCGCCCCTGACAGCTGGACAGTGGGAGCGAGGCGTGGAGCAGGTGAGACTTGGGGCAGGTGAGAGTGTGGGGCAGGTGAGACTTGGGGCAGGTGAGAGTGTGGGGCAGGTGAGAGTGTGGGGCAGGTGAGACTTGGGGCAGGTGAGAGTGTGGGGCAGGTGAGAGTGTGGGGCAGGTGAGACTTGGGGCAGGTGAGAGTGTGGGGCAGGTGAGACTTGGGGCAGGTGAGAGTGTGGGGCAGGTGAGAGTGTGGGGCAGGTGAGAGTGTGGGGCAGGTGAGACTTGGGGCAGGTGAGAGTGTGGGGCAGGTGAGAGTGTGGGGCAGGTGAGACTTGGGGCAGGTGAGAGTGTGAGGCAGGTGAGAGTGTGGGGCAGGTGAGAGTGTGGGGCAGGTGAGACTTGGGGCAGGTGAGAGTGTGGGGCAGGTGAGACTTGGGGCAGGTGAGGCTTGGAGAACGGTGTGTGCTGTTTACTCTGTTGACCCTTTCTGTTCAGTAGAGCATCAGATTGACACCCTCTGTGCGTGGTGCACCCTCTGATCCACGTGGCAGTTGAAGCAGGGAGGGCCACATGGCGGCGAGCTATTGGTGGACGGGGAGAGGGCGCCGAGGGCTGGCGAGGTGTTTAAGAACCCGGGCATGGGCAACACACTGAGGCTGCTGGGAGGTGCGTCAGCGGCTATGTCCATCTCAGGGCCAGCGTCACTTTCAATTTCCTTGCCCAAGTTCATTTCTCACAATTTAGAACGGTCCTTCTTTCCTCTCCCCTCCACGCACAACAGAGCAAGTCAAGGATGGCTTCCACACTTGTCCAATGGCCGATGCCATAGTGGCAGCGGTGCAGGCCCAGGGCGGTACTTGCATCTCACGGCTCCATTCATGTCATCCCCCCCCTTTCCCCCATCCCCCACACCTTTCTCCCTCTTCCCCCATCAGAGCAAGGCAGGGATGGCATCTACACAGGCCCCATGGTGGAAGCCATGGTCACAGCAGTGCAGGCTCAGGGCGGGGTGCTCTCTCTGCCCGACCTCATACTTGATGCTTCGCTGCTCTCCCTCCCTCCCCGCTCCGCCACCCACAACAGATAAAGGCAAGGATGGATTCTACACAGGCCCGGTGGCCGAAGCCATAGTGGCAGCAGTGCAATCCCAGGGAGGGGTGCTCTCTCTGCACGACCTCGCCTCCCACGTCTCCTCCTTCGCCCCCCCCATCAGCACCACCTTCCACGGCCTCACCATCTGGGAGGTCCCTCCCCCCACCCACGGCCTGGCTGCTCTTGATACGTCTCAAAAGTCATGCCACCTCCCGTCTCCCCTCCCTCCACCTCTCTCCCCTTCCCGCTAGAGAAAGGCAAGGATGGTTTTTACTCAGGCCCGGTGGCCGAAGCGATAGTCACAGCAGTGCAGGCCCAGGGCGGGGTGCTCTCTCTGCCCGACCTCGCCTCCCACACCTCCTCCTTCGCCCCGCCCATCAGCACCACCTTCCACGGCCTCACCATCTGGGAGGTCCCTCCCCCCACCCACGGCCTTGCCGCTCTCATCGCTCTCAACATCACCGAGGCTTACTATTCCACGCACGGGCTTCCCGAGCCTGCCCGGGAGGCCCGGGGAGCGGGGCCCGAAGCTGCGGGCGAGGCTCGGGAGGAGGGGCGGGTCAAGGGGGAGGCGGATTTCACGCATGTGATGATTGAAGCGATGCGAATGGGGTTTGCAGATGCGCTGGCGTGTGTGGCTGATCCAGAGCACGTGCAGGTGCCTCTGGGGGAGGCTTTATCTAAAGAGTATGCAGCCAAACGAGCTGGGGAGATCGATTTAACACGGGCAGCGATCGTTGAGCCAGGGATTGGGGCGTGGGAAGGAGTGGGGACCGATACGGTGTATTTCTGTGCGGTGGACGGGGAGGGCAACGCATGCAGCATGATCAACTCAAACTACATGGGGTTTGGCACGGGGATTGTCCCCAAGGGGTGCGGTTTTCCTATTCAGAACCGCGGGCATAACTTTTCCCTGGACCCTGACCATCCCAACTGCCTGGCGCCTGGTAAGCGCCCCTACCACACCATTATTCCTGGCCTCGCCACCTGGGGGGATACCCCTTCTACTGCAGCAGCAGCATCAGCAGAAGCAGCAGCAGGAGCAGCAGCTGCAGCAGGAGAAGCAGGAGCAGAAGAGTCAAGAGCAGACGCAGGGGTGCCAGCAGGAGACCTGCACTGCACGTTCGGAGTGATGGGCGGGTTCATGCAACCCCAGGGCCACCTCCAGGTGGTAACCAGCCTCGCCCTCCTCTCCCTCAACCCCCAGGCCGCCCTCGACCGCCCCCGCTTCTGCCTCTCCGGCCTCCCCTCCCTCTCCCCCCCCGGGCACGGGCCTGGGCCAGTGAGAGAGAGCCACGTGGCGATTGAGGAGGGGCTGGGGAGGGAGGAGGTGGCGGAGGAGTTGAGGAGGAGGGGGCATCGGGTGGAGGTGGTGAGGGGGGAGGCGAGGGAGGTGTTTGGAAAGGGGCAGGTGATTGTGAGGGAGAGAGGGAGTGGGGTGCTGTGGGGGGGGTCGGAGGGACGGGCAGATGGCTGTGCCATGGGGTTTTGAACTAGGGGGGACGGGGACAGGAGGACTAAGGAGAAGGATGAAAGGAGGGAACAGAATGGGGGATGCTATTGGGAATGCTTAAAGGTGAACCTTTCCATTAACTGTGGAAGTAGAGTGAGCAACAGGGATGGAATTGAAATTCAGGCATACGGCTGAATTCAATCCGCGTGCTCTCCCTTTGGCTGTTGTGTAGGGAGAATCTTTGCAATGCAAAATGTATCCACCAGAATTTTTACAAAAAAAAATACATTCAAGAACAAAATAATGAAAGAATTGGCGAGACAAGCTTAGCTAGCTGCTGCTGTTGATACCCTACAATGCTGCGTCCCTGTGCTGCTGCTGCAGGCATCATACCGGTACCATAATTGCCATCGCTCCACCGATCTTGTAAAGAAGATTCTGCTCCCACCATGAGAGTCGGAGATGACAGTGATGCGTTGATGCAGCGGCTGCAAGCCAATCATACTTGCCTTCCAGTGTCTTCTGTGCCTCACTGGGAAAGGTGCTATCCTGCTGCCATGCACACGCTGCCATGCCCCACACTGCCATGCCCAGATTGCCAACTCGCACATTCAACAACTTCCTTCATGTGATCAGTCCCGCTTGTGAGACGCACAGAAGACAATGACTTGCCGCAGCAGTTGTCGTGACTCGTCAGTGAGTGCTCCCACACTGTCATGGAATGCCTGAAAGTTGTAGAAATTGTGGTGGAGAGGGAGGGATATAGATAGGAGAAACAATGGCATGACATATTGATCCGGGTTTGTTTAGATAGGTGACTGTACGACTGATTCCAAATCACCACTGAACATATCAACACTAACCCAACACCGCCATCAACTTTTTCTTGCCACTAGTTCGGGTTTAGGCTCACCATGAATTGCTGCAGCACTGGAGCCAGCGGCTGCAGAGAGGAGCCTGGCAGCTGGTTGCAGATGGACCGACACACTGGCTCGCTGCAGGTGGGGGAAGAGGGGGAGGAAGATAAGGAAAGGACGAGCGAGTTCGTAATTGACTTACGAACAGGTGCCAGTGGTTGCAGAGAGGAGCCTGGCAGAGCTGGTGGCGGACGGATTGACAGACTGGCTCGCTGCGGGTGGGGGAGCCAGGGTGAAGGGGAAAGGCAGGGAAGGATGCATCCAGTTTTAGGGTTTGAAACGTCTCAAAGACGATGATTGGAGTGAGAGATGGACTCGCTCCAAGGGGGGCGGGGAAAGAAGGAGTCCAGTTTTGAGGAGTGGATGAAGAGGGTGTGTTTCAAGGAATGGGTGTATCGTAACACAAGGTTAGATTGGCACGGAAAGAGGGAACCTGTTCCGCTAAGGAAAGTGACTTTGATGGATATGCCTGTGTGGAAGGTGGCTGCATACATGCCACCACACACACCTCTGCTGCTGTGCCAGCAAGCCACCATGCCACCCACCAGCAGCCCACCACACACAAGCGATCAGCAGACACACACCTGTGTTGTGCTAGCAGCCCCAGCAGCAGAGCAGCGTGGAACTCCATGATCAGCTGCTCCGCCTCCACTGCCTTAAAACCCCTTCCCGAACCAGTGCCCTCACCCGCATTTGATGAATACACACACCACCATGCCACCACGCACACACACCTGTGCTGCGCCAGCAGGCCCAGCAGCAGGGCGGCATGTGACTCCATGATCAGCTGCTCTGCTTTTTCGATCGACTCACAATAATGCATGCCACCACACACCCAACTGTGCTGCTGCGCCAGCAAGCCACCATGCCACACACATGCATGCCATGCCACCACACACACACCTATGCTGCGCCAGCAGCCCCAGCAGCAGAGCAGCATGTGACTCCATGATCAGCTGCTCCGCCTCCACGGCCCCCTGCACCATCATCGACATCACCATCTCACCCGACCCCACCGCCTCTTCCATCACCTTCCCCATCTCCTCCTTTCCAGTCCCCATCCCTTCCATCATCCCCATACCTCCCACCATCGCCCCCTGCAGCACCATCTCGCCCTGCCCAAGCACGCTCATCTGCAATTCCTCCACTTCCCGCTCCGCCAAACGCCTCTGCTCCGCCATTCCCATCTCTTCTGCACCCTCACTCCCTCTCACCACCGCCGCGCTCCTTTCCTCATGGCTGGAGCGCTCCAAAATCTGACAATTGGCAGCGAAATCCTGCCTCTCCTTTTGCTGCTGCTGCTGCGGCTGCAGCTGCAGCTTCTTTTGCTGCTCGGAGCTTTTTTGGCGAGATGCAAAGATGGCGCACAGGAGGGACACCATCGACACACTCTCCTCTGCCCTCCCTGCCTCCTCTTGGCCACGGCTCCCACTGCTGGTGGCACTGTGCTGCTGCATGCTGTGTCCACGGGCCTTGTGCTGCTGGGTGCTGTATTTGCTGTATTCTCTGGCTCTGTGCTGCTTGGAGTGCAGCTGGCCCTGCTTTCGCCTCGTGCAAGTGGCTGCTGCCAGTAGGGATCTGCGGAACAGTTGTTGTGGGTGGGATGACGCACACAAATATAAAATATGCATAGGTACCATATGCACACACAGGACGATCAGCAGCAGAACCCTACCCGGTGCCATGGCACCCTGAGCTTCCATCAGATGGTCCATGGAAACACAAGGACCACTGTACATGCTCATGCATACGCACATGCACATGGGCAAGCACACGTATGTGCATGGTAGATGCATGCTTCCGTTGTTGTGACTTGTCAGTGTCAGCATACCTCACCACATGAAGCACCCATACCAGGCGTCACTATCAGCCTCCACAGGGCCAACACAACACCCACCAGCACCACCCACACCGCACGGGCGCATGCACATATAGGGGCACAACACCCGTTTCTGGGATTCCACCCACCCAGCATTCCCAGCCTAGGCCATACCTGGCATCACTATCAGCTTCCACCAGGTTGACAATCAGAACCAGCAGCACCACCAGGACAAGTGCACGCACACATAAGGGGCAGCATTACACCCTAAACCCTAAAAGTTTTTGCCATTGCACCCACCCAGCATTGTCAGCAACAACCGTACCTGGCGTCACTATCAGCTTCCACCAGGTTGACGATCAGACCCAGCAGCACCACCAGCACGTCACCATCTCCCTCCCAGGGCCAACCTTCCCCACGCGCTGCACCCTCCTTTTCCCGTCCTCCACAAGTCCTTTCAGCTTTATCACACTCTCCCCTGTCATCCCCTCCCCCATTACTTGCCCCGTTCCCCCTCCCCTGCACTCCATCCTCCAACCCACACGCTCCAGCTGTCACTGCCTCAGTTCCCTCGGACCCATAGCCCGTGCGAACTGTCGAAGCTGCTGCTGAAGCTGCTGCCGAAGCTGCTGCCGAAGCTGCTGCCGAAGCTGCTGCCGAAGCTGCTGCCGAAGCTGCTGCCAGAGGTGGCTCTCCTGCAGCGCCACACGGGGCCCCAGCAGATGCCAGGGCATGCTGCCAGCAGCGGTCAGAGCAGCAGGCTGCAGCCAGAGACGCCACCACAGCGATCCCGTGCGCCCCTGCCACCGCTCTGCACCCCTCTGCACTGTGGTTGGTGACGTTCATGAGCACCTTGCATGCTGCCAGCACGAACCGCCGTCCTGCCCGTGACCGCACTGTCAGCGTCTCCTTGCAACTGCCACCACCATCACCATCCCGATTGCCACCAGATTTCCCACTGAAAGCACCTTGGCTTGGATCACCTCTGGTAGACAAACCATTGCGAGATTTCTTCTGCCCCAGCCTGTACTCCTCACCCTCTCCATGCCTCCCCTTCTTGCCCTGAACCTTCCTCCCATGCACCCCCTGCCTGCGCAGCCCACCACACTCACCATCATTCCCACTGCTCCCTCCCTCCACCTCCTCTCCCAGCCTTATCCCCGACCCACACACGCCACCCCGCCCCTGTCCACACCCGTCTCCTCCCCTCATTCCCCCCCATTCTCCCCCCACCAACATGTCCTCCCCCACTAATAGCTCCTCCTCCACCTGTGAGTCCATCAGAAACTCGTAAGGATCCTTCCCCACGCCCTCACTCCTCCCGAACCCTCCATCACCCCTCTCTCTCAACCCTGAACCGCCCCCAACCGCAGCACTCGCTCGCCTGTGCCTTTCCCTGCCACTCAGATCCGAATCCTCCAACCCCTCATCATCAGAGCCCTCCTGCTCCTCCCCTACCGCCTCGCCTAGGATAACTGCCCCTCCGTTACTGCCTGCACCAGTGCGAGGCCTGAAATGTTTTTTAGGCGCCTCAAAAATCTCCTCACCCAGGACAATAGCTCCTCCCCTACTGCCTGCACCAGCGTGAGCCATGAAAAATCCCAACCCTCTTTCCCCATCTTCCTCCCCTTCTCCCTCTTTCTCTTCGTCCTCTTCCTCCTCTGCCGACACATCTTCCCCCAGCGCAACAGCACCAATGCCATGTCTGACCTCCATGGGAAGAGCACCATTCTTGCCATGTCGCCATCCCTCCTCCTCCTCATCATAATCCCCCTCCACTGCCTCGCCCAGCATTACAATTTTCTCCTGCTTTTGCATAACCTGATTCACAGCACTACGCCCTGCACCTGCATTGAAAGCCACCTTTCCATGTTTCCCCTTATCAACGCTGCTGCTCTTCCCTGCACCTGCCCTTACTGCAACCCTCGCTGCGACCCTCCCTGCAACCCTCCCTGCACCCTCCTCCTCCCATGGGTCAAAGGAAAACGGGTCTGCGGATGCCCTCTCCTTGCCACTTGCCTGGACCCCTCTCCTCCCCCCACCAGACTTCCCCTTTGCAGCCACCCCACACACTCTCTTCCCTCCATTTCGCCCACTTCCCTTCTCGTCCTCCCCACTCCCCTCTTCGCCCTCCTCACTCCCCTCCTCTCGCCCCAAGCCCAGAGGCACAGAATCGCCCAGAATAACCTTTCCCCCACCACTGGCCCCCACTGCCCCTCCCACTGCTCTTCCCTCATCCCCCTCGGAATCTGTTCCTGAAGTGCTAGCGCTCTCCTTGCCCCTTGAGCTTTGAACGGCCCCAC